AAAAACACCATGCACTCACTTTTGATTGCCAGTCTATGTATGCATGTACATATGTGTGTAAACTTTATGCTAAACTAGCATTATTTTAAATTGTATTTGCATCNAAAAACACCATGCACTCACTTTTGATTGCCAGTATATGTATGCATGTACATATGTGTGTAAACTTTATGCCAAACTATCATTATTTTAAATTGTATTTGCATCTTCATAAAAGGAGAACAAGATAAAAAATTTAACAAAAATTACAAACTAATGAAAATTGTGTGATGATTTACCATATTTTCGTTTAGTTGCTCGCAAAGAACATCACATTTCATATTGCTCAACATTGTATTATATTATCAACATTAAATTCAACAGAATTTCTACATTCCGACTTGAACTTTTTTAACGCTGTTAATTTTTCGTCCGCGAATAGTTTCCACTTTCAGTTTGCACCTTCTCTATCTATCTAAGTTCTCTGATTGCGCCCACCAATAAAAGGCAATAAAGCCCGCGGACTAAATTTCCTTTGCGAAAGAGCAATAATAGCCGTGAGCTTTATTTCCCAAAGAAAAGGATATAACGCCCGCTAGATTTATTTCATAAAAAAGGAAATAAAGCCCGTGAGTTTTGCTTTCTCTGGCTTTATTTTACTGAAACATTCCAATTATGTATACAGGCATACATTTGCATCAAATGGAACGTATTTTAAACGAATTGCTCTCTATTTTTGCATACAGCGAAGTTGGATGTGCAGTAAGGATATATTTTTTTAATAGGGTTGCCACCTGCGTTTAAAATTATTATTAGATGTGCGTTCAAAATTATAATATTTACACTGTTCTCCCGATTTTCAAAGATGAGGTGTCAAATGAAAGGGCTTGGCCTTTGGATATGCAGTAAGGATATATTTTTTTAATAGGGTTTCCACCTCCCTTTAAAATTGTGATATTTACACCGTTCTCCCGATTTTCAAAAATGAGGCGTCAAATGAAAGGGCTTGGCCTCTGGATGGGCATTGAGGATATAATTTTTTTTAATGGGGTTGCCACCTGCGTTTAAAATTATGATATTTACACCGTTCTCCCGATTTTCAAAAATGAGGCGTCAAATGAAAGGGCTTGGCCTCTGGATGGGCATTGAGGATATAATTTTTTTTAATGGGGTTGCCACCTGCGTTTAAAATTATGATATTTACACCGTTCTCCCGATTTTCAAAAATGAGGCGTCAAATGAAAGGGCTTGGCCTCTGGATGGGCATTGAGGATATAATTTTTTTTAATGGGGTTGCCACCTGCGTTTAAAATTATGATATTTACACCGTTCTCCCGATTTTCAAAAATGAGGTGTCAAATGAAAGGGCTTGGCCTCTGGATGTGCAGTAAAGATATATTTTTTTATTTTTCAAAAATGAGGTGTCAAATGAAAGAGCTTGGCCTCTGGATGGGCATTGAGGATATATTTTTTAATGGGGTTTCCACCTGCGTTTAAAATTGTGATATTTACACCGTTCTCCCGATTTTCAAAAATGAGGCGTCAAATGAAAAGGCTTGGCCTCTGGATGTGCATTGTGGATATATTTTTTTAATGGGTTTCCACCTACGTTTAAAATTATTATATTTACACAGTTCTCCCGATTTTCAAAAATGAGGTGTCAAATGGAAAGGGCTTGGCTTCTGGATGTGCAGTAAGGATATATTTTTTTAATAGGGTAGGGTTGCCACCTGCGTTTAAAATTATGATATATACACCGTTATCCCGATTTTCAAAAATTAGGTATCAAATGAAAGGGCTTGGCCTCTGGATGTGCAGTAAGGATATATTTTTTTAATAGGGTTGCCACCTGCGTTTAAAATTATGATATTTACACCGTTTTCCCGATTTTCAAAAATGAGGTGTCAAATGAAAGGGCTTGGCTTCTGGATGTGCAGTAAGGATATACTTTTTTCAAAAATGAGGTGTCAAATGAAAGGGCTTGGCCTGTGGATGTGCAGTAAGGATATATTTTTTAATAGGGCTTAAAATCATGATATTTACACCGTTCTCCCGATTCTCAAAAATGAGGTGTCAAATGAAAGGGCTTGGCCTCTAGATGCGCCGTAAGGAAAAAAAATATTTAGTTCAATGTTATCATATTGGTTAGTTTTTATTTAGAACAGGAGGGTTTTGATGTACACATTCTAAAATGGAGACAAAAGCCACAATAAAGGTGAAATAACGCCCGCGGCCTTTATTTCTTTTGTTTTTAGGAAATAAAGTCCATGGGCGTTATTTCCGCGGGCCTTATTGCACTCCACCCAGTAAGGTTATAGTTTTTTAATAGGGTTGCCGCCTCTGTTTGAAATTGTAATATTTACACCGTTCACCCGATTTTCAAAAATGAGGTGTCAAATGAAAGAGCTTGCCTCTGAATGTGCAGTAAGGATATATATTTTAATAGGGTTTACACCTGCGTTTAAAATTATGATATATACCCGGTTCTCCCGATTTTCAAAAATGAGGTATCCAATGAAAGGGCTTGGCCTCTGGATGTGCAGTAAGGATATCAGGGTTCGGAAATTCTCATTTATGATTATTCGTTTTCATTCATCTTCTGAGATTTATCGGGATCGACAAAATTCCAAATCTATTTTGCATTCTTTTATCGCGAGTGAAAAATGCAATCAAATTTATCATCTCTCACATTCGGAATGCGATTGACAAAAAAATTTCCGGCGCTTTTCATTCGCGATCGAAAAAAGATCCGTTGGAAGGAATGTAGGAATATGCACAAATATATGAATTATGGTGGTAACTTATATGTATGTATTTACATATAAATTACATACATGCATACGTATAGTTAAAGTACAGTATATTTTGCTTAGCTGCACATCCTTCTTTGCACGAAAAACTTGTGCACTTAACCCAAAAAGGCACTTGAGCGAAANCACCGTTATCCCGATTTTCAAAAATTAGGTATCAAATGAAAGGGCTTGGCCTCTGGATGTGCAGTAAGGATATATTTTTTTAATAGGGTTGCCACCTGCGTTTAAAATTATGATATTTACACCGTTTTCCCGATTTTCAAAAATGAGGTGTCAAATGAAAGGGCTTGGCTTCTGGATGTGCAGTAAGGATATACTTTTTTCAAAAATGAGGTGTCAAATGAAAGGGCTTGGCCTGTGGATGTGCAGTAAGGATATATTTTTTAATAGGGCTTAAAATCATGATATTTACACCGTTCTCCCGATTCTCAAAAATGAGGTGTCAAATGAAAGGGCTTGGCCTCTAGATGCGCCGTAAGGAAAAAAAATATTTAGTTCAATGTTATCATATTGGTTAGTTTTTATTTAGAACAGGAGGGTTTTGATGTACACATTCTAAAATGGAGACAAAAGCCACAATAAAGGTGAAATAACGCCCGCGGCCTTTATTTCTTTTGTTTTTAGGAAATAAAGTCCATGGGCGTTATTTCCGCGGGCCTTATTGCACTCCACCCAGTAAGGTTATAGTTTTTTAATAGGGTTGCCGCCTCTGTTTGAAATTGTAATATTTACACCGTTCACCCGATTTTCAAAAATGAGGTGTCAAATGAAAGAGCTTGCCTCTGAATGTGCAGTAAGGATATATATTTTAATAGGGTTTACACCTGCGTTTAAAATTATGATATATACCCGGTTCTCCCGATTTTCAAAAATGAGGTATCCAATGAAAGGGCTTGGCCTCTGGATGTGCAGTAAGGATATCAGGGTTCGGAAATTCTCATTTATGATTATTCGTTTTCATTCATCTTCTGAGATTTATCGGGATCGACAAAATTCCAAATCTATTTTGCATTCTTTTATCGCGAGTGAAAAATGCAATCAAATTTATCATCTCTCACATTCGGAATGCGATTGACAAAAAAATTTCCGGCGCTTTTCATTCGCGATCGAAAAAAGATCCGTTGGAAGGAATGTAGGAATATGCACAAATATATGAATTATGGTGGTAACTTATATGTATGTATTTACATATAAATTACATACATGCATACGTATAGTTAAAGTACAGTATATTTTGCTTAGCTGCACATCCTTCTTTGCACGAAAAACTTGTGCACTTAACCCAAAAAGGCACTTGAGCGAAATTTCTTTACTACTTCAATGAGGAAGGTATCCAAATCCCTATGAAACCAAATAATGGAGAAGCTCTTACCACGTAGAAATTACTGCAAGCGAAATTTTTACCGAATACTATCTAATTATCTATATAACTACATAAATTTATAGCCATTTTCGTTGTTCTGCGAGATGAACAAAATAAATAAAAAGTTGTAAAATTAGGTAATTGTAGGGCCAGTGCAGGTAAACGTAATACTTTCTTTGATAATTGATACTAGTCGCATAATTTTTAGGGCAGGTATGCTAAATGCATCTATCGGAGCAGTTTCCTTATAAATGTTAAAAATAATTCCTCTGATGCGCATCTGCGTAGGTATCTTATATGTGCACTTAAGCATAGAGGCAGCAAAGCAAAATATACTGTATATTCCAAGCGTACACTTTTCAGTATAATTGTGTATCTGCATGTTATTTTATTATAGTGATTGCGTTTATTTATTATATCTAATAAATGGAACTTAGTGGGAGAAAAGTAATGAGTAATGAGAAAAGTGGGCATCTGGTGAAGACTGAGAGTAAAGACGCTTGTAAAAAATTGCCGAAAAGCATTGAGACACTATGCCGCAACATATATAGTTTCTTTTCCCACAGTCCAAAGAGGATACATGAACTGAAGGAATTTTAGGACTACTGTTCGGTAAAACCCCACAAAATCTTGGGCATCTTGGCTTTCAGTAGGAGGCGTTGTGTTAAGAATAGTTGAACAATGGGATAGTTTGAAACTTTATTTTATTTCTTGCTTTTATGAAGTAAACGGTACTGGAATGTGTTGCAAAACCAAATGCTTTTTTTATATCTGTCGTATATTTTCCCCATAATTAACAAACTTAACAAAGAGTTTCAAGGTGAAAGCCCTCGTTTGCCTTACTTATATGCAACTATCAAAGCACATTATCTTTTGATTTTGAGTAACTTCATTAAAAAAGATGCGATCAGTAACATATTGATGTTGATTTTAAAAATGAAAATAATCATGTTAAAATATCTGACATTTTTGTTGGAACGAAAGCTGAGATGTTTATGAAAAGTAATGTCAATTGTTCTGGAATCCTTGAAGTTAAAACCAAGACAGTAAAGTTTTACATAGAGTTTTTGGACCAAATAAATTTAAGATTTGATTTCAAGCGTGAAGATATAAAACTTTTACAAATAATGACACCAGCTAAGGTAGTTTCTAAAGAAGATTTACCAATCTTACCTCTTTTGTTAAGTTTCCCCATCTCATAGATTGCGTATCTGATATAATCACCACACAGTGGAATTTACTGAGGCTAAGTGAGCTTGAGATTTCCTGCGATCTGGATACTGATATGTTTTGGGAAAAAGTTTATTCTGTTAAAAATGGAATGAATGAAAATAGCTTCATGCATCTTC